GGGGAGGGGCTCGAGGGGCTTCTCTGGGGCTTTCTACAACCTGCTTTCTCCTGCACGCTGGCTTCGTCCCAAGAGGGAAGCAAGACCTGTTAGCAGCTCAAGATGGTAACATGCAGAGGAAGCAAAGGGACCCACCCATTTGTGTCCTTCTTAGGAATGAGCAAACCTTCCCTAAAATCTCCCCAACAGATTGGAGGTCTTCACACCCCACTGCCAGGATTGGGTGGCAGGCCCTTTCCTACACTTGTGTCTGGGGTGTGGCATGGAGGCACCAGACCGGAATGGGCTAATCATCTCAGAGAACAATGCTTCCCAGTTCAAATCCACTCCACCCACCAAGGGGCTGCTGGTGAAGACCAAAGAGGGAAACGAGCATGACCCTAATTCAAAGAAGTTAACATGCTGGACAGCTATTCTTACAAATGGAGCCCCGATAAGCCACAGGATCAAATGCCCTCTGCCTGATACTTTATCCATAAGCAGCGGCATAATGACCAAATGGAGGACTCTCGGGCACATCAATATAAATGCTCAACAACCACCCTGTTGGGGCAATTTTAAACACTACTGGCTGAGATCAAAGTATAACATGGTCTAGGCAGACACAGTGGCCCATATTTGTAATCCCAGCTACTTGGAAGGCTGAGGCAGGAGGATTGAAAATTCAAGGCCATCCTGGGAAATTTAGCAAGACTATCTCAAAATTAAAAAATAAAAAGGGCTGGAGACGTAGCTCAGTTGTACTGTACCCCTGGGGGCAATCCCTCAGTATGGGGTGCTGGCCTATTTGCATAATCATGCCAAGTGGGCACCTGCAGTATCAGGGTATAAATGTTGAAGAAAGAAGTGAGAGGAGGGTTCCAAGTCAAAGCGGGGTCCCAGGCAGGGAGACTCTTGCCAGTAAGCATGATGGAGTAAAAGGAGAGTACAGGATTTGTAAAAAGCTTGGGGAAGGGAGGAGCACTAAACTCTCAAAAATAAAGAGAACAAGAGAAACAACGATTTCAACAAAATTTTGGCTGCTGGAAAGCACACAAACTAGTGATAACTGACTTTGTAGATGAGAGAAAGCCCAAACTTAGCCCAGCAGTGTGGGAAGTCTGGGATTCACAGCCAGAACTCCAGAGAGGCTCTGGAATTGTGAGCACCATGCACCAAAGAAGCAGGGGACCCACCCCAAAGCAGGAGGGCAGGCTGAAGATCTGAATATGAAGCCATCAGACCACCACATCCCTCTCTTAATTGTTGATCCCTGGTAAGGGCTTGCATTCTGTGACCTGTTTGCTCTACTGAGTCGGGACAGCTATGGATTGGAGACACCAACTTTGTGGAAGGCATACCACTCTAAATACAGCAGGATAAGAGAAAGTCTCCATACCAAATGGCTAGACTCCTAGTCTTCTTTCCATCTGGCTTCCAGAATGCTACAACCAATCAACTCTTCGGTGTCTTGAAGATTTCTCTTTACCTGGGTAGTTTCTCCAGATACAAGACCCTCTCCTAATGAGAGAGTCCTCCAGTAAAACCACCAGCAAGCTAATTCTACAGCAGAGGTCCTCCGCACTAGCTGTGCATTCAAGTCACCTGCAGAGCTCTTAATAATCACCACCACCTGGGACCTAGCAAGATCATACGTCATTCCATTACTCTGCAAATGTCCCTGGGAAGTTACTGTGTGCCAGGCATTGTTCTGGATTCTGAGATTTTCCTGGGTCGCCTTCTTGGAAGGGAGCTATTTCTGGGTACAAGTTCCATCCTCTCAGACATTACAGTTAGGGTTTTAGTAGTCAGTTAGGGATCATCGGACAAGTAAGGAAAGTCTTTACATGGAGGAGATTAAAAAACAAAAACAAAACTAAGAGGAAATCAGAGGAAACAGAAACAATGCAGGGAGGAGAGAAATACTTCAAAGAAGCTGTAATGAGATCTGCAGAGTTGAGCAGCTTTTCATCCATGAAACAATAACAGGAGGCTGTAAGAAAATCACAGATCTTTAAGGAGCTCTTGGGAATTAGAAATTTGATGGCAGACATAAAAAAGGAATATATGGGTTGGAAGATAAAATGAAGAGATTTCCCAGAAAGTATTTCTGTACTTTTTTTTTTATATGTGTGTGATACTGAGGATTGAACCCAGGCCTCACTCATGTTATGCAAAGGCTCTACCACTACAAATAAGCTGTGACCCTAACCCTTTTTAGACTCTTATTTGGGGACAGAGTCTTGTTGAGGAAAGGTAAAAAACAAACAAACAAAAAAAAAAAAAAAAACAGCTGAATTGCCTAGGCTGGCCTTGAACTTGCAATCCTTTTGCTGTCTCAGCCTCCTGAGTAGCTGGGATTACACTCATGACCACCATGACCACCATGCACAGTTGGAAGTAGAATATTTTTTAAAGGAGACAGAAAAATGTAATAGAAAAAGAAAGGGAGTCAGTCCATAAGAGTTTCCTTCCAATCAATAAGTGGTACAGAAGAGAGGAATGGAAATTTTAGTTTTTAAAACTCTAGAAAACTGTTCAGAACAAAAGGGCAGAGCTTTCAGAGAAAAGTCACTGGAAGCCCAGTAATGTGGATGAAAAAAGAGTACCACCGAGATACAATGAAGTCTCATTACAAAGAGAAAGGAATACTACAAGGGACAAAGAGGAAATCCTAAAAACCTTCAGAGAAATACATTCAAAGCCTCAGGACTTAGAATGACATCAGACATCTGAACAGCTATTAAATCTGGAAGAGCAGTGCTTCCCCAATTCAAAGGGAAAGGGATCCCCAATATAGAATCCATATCCCATACAAACTGTCCGTTAACCTTGGAGGATATCAAAAAAATCACTTCACATATGGTTTTGTCAGGACCTTCCTTCCGGAAGATGTGTTTTTCAGAAAGTGAATATAAGAAGAAAGTCGTGAGGTTTAGAAGACAGGAGATGTCTCCTGACAAAGAGACAAAATGCCTCCCCAGTATGATACAGAAAGGACATCCCATGATAGTGTCTGTGCAGTCAGCAAATCCAGGGTAGAACCAGAGGACAAGAGGTGAACCAGAGGACAGGATACATTTGGCACTAAGAAATGTACAAAAACTTGAAAAGTGATTGTTTCTGGGGCATAGATATTGGGGTTGGTGAGGGGTCCGCAGTTATAAATCTTATAGAAACGTTATCACTTTTAAAAGTATGTATATGTGTCCTTTTGATACACATATAAGAGGGAAAGAAGAGAAGGTCAGACTAGGAATTGGGTTTCAGATTGAGAGTAAGAATACTCAGAAAGAGATTCCCAAGCAGCACCCTGGAGCGCCCACTCTCTAGAAGGCAGAGCACAGGTGCCTGAGTAATGAATGCCCTGGGAAACAGAAGCCTTGATGAAGACGACTGGCCAAGTACCATGGCAACAGAGTAGACACCTGGAGGTCCCAGGAGTCAGGGTGGAGTGGGGTCCCTTCAAGGAAACAATTCCCAAGTGTGACCTGCTGGAGCATATGGAATCAGCAGCAATAGGCTGAAAGGAAGCTCAACTCCATGCCAGGCATGGCATTGGGTGATTTATGGAAGCAAGAAGGCAAACTGAAAGGCAGTGCTTAGTAATTCTGCAGCTTTGCGCCTTCTCCCTTTCACCCTGGATGGGGCTGGAGCGGGGGTGGGGGGGGATGCTGAATGCACCTCCTGGACAGTTATGCCTGGCTGTGCAGCCTCAAAGCACAAGCCTGGGAGCAAGTGGAGTGAGCCTCGGGTCCTCAGTCCAGGTTGGTTTTCTCTGTCACTTTCTCTTCTATGTCTTGTTTCAATTTCTTCAGGTGGTGGCCCATCTAAGAACCCCTCTTTCGACAGAACCTCCCGCTGCCATCCTGGAATCCCACAGCTGCCCTAGTTTGACTGGAGACTCTGAAAGCCTTACATCTTTATCTATCAATCTATCTGTGTATCTATCTATCTTGTACTGTGCATTGAACTCAGGGTGCTTAACCACTGAGCTACATCCCAGCC